AGGAGTTGCTTTTGTGTTAATGAGCGTGTATCAGATAGGTTTTATCTACACAAAACTTTCCTTTTAACCGCTTTAGGCAGACGTTTGCCTTAGTACGAACCTTATGCAAACCTTCATTCATCGACAGTATAACTACAATGCATCAGCTAAACGTAAGTTCCTAGAAAAGGAGATTATGCCTCATAAATTTCTGTCTTGACTTCATTGGTTAGCACAAACGCAAAAGTGATTTGTTTTACATTTAAATTCAATCACAAGTAACCCGTATACGACGTATTTAAAGTCTAATAAGCGAATTTACTTAAAGTGTTTCTTTAGATTCATAATACGTTTACAAATTAGGTGTTAATTTCAATTTATTCTTTGAAATTCCGGTTGTCTGTCTCCCTTTCAGTATCCTATTCATATTTTAATATACATATATGATTCAGCACTGAAGTTACTTATTTGACAAATTTTCGTGATACACATCACAAACAATTCAATGGAGACAATCCCTCAGTACTTATAAAAAGCATGTCAACAAGACTAATAACTTACTAACCTTTTCCCTTGTTACGGGTATCATACAGTGTAAGGCCAATTACGAGGTAGATTACGATGCAAGGAAATGTTCAGAACATTATAGTCCACATCTCCTGGAATATGTAAAGAGAATCTTCAGAAACTTTCATTCATTGTGGAACCTTCTGGATACACTGCAATACAGCGGTTCTAGACTGTAGCAAAGGTTCTTCAAAGTCATTATACAGATGTTATAAAAACGTTCGCTACGCGCCTGTCCTTTGTCGGAAGATCCACTAGACCTATTGCCTATTTTAACATCATTGTCGACATTGTGGAGAAATTTTCAAAGAGATCCCGAAACAGTTTCTTTGGCAGGTTTCCACCGTACACAAAAAACAAACAACTGCTGTTGACAACTTGATAAAACTAAAGGCAATTAAACGGAACACTTTGTGATCATTACGCTTAAAGAACACAAGTCTCGGTTGGTGAGAATTAAACAAACTGTATCAAGCTCTCTCTACACTGTATACATTTATCTCAGCTTTTTCTATTGTTTTTTTTACACATTATACGCCTGTTTATATATCGAATTTGGCGAAGTAAAAGTTGACTTAATAAATTTCCAGTCGTCACTGAAAATAAAATATAGCTGTATATGGAACAAGTTCTGCCGCCAATTAGACCAACAGGTTTATTCATTACAGACAGTTCAAAATTAACATATTTTATTGTCACATTTCATGATAAATTTCATCTGAATGGACTAATTGGTGTTCCCAGAAATAGTTCGAGATAACATCATACAAGCTTGGCATCCGATACCTTTGTTTCGTTCCTCAAAACACCGAAATAACCTCATTGTTAAATAACTAATATAAAAATTATTTAAATTGATGGTTTAAAAAAAGCATGTGTTAATGTTACGACAATCAGAACAGAGTGCAAATAGATCGGAAATCATTCGGGCTGGAATAAAAGAAAGTCAGAATTAGATGGTGTACAGGTAAATTTTTGTAATGGTTTCAATGACGTGTTCGTCCGCAATCCCGATTGGTCAAGGGCCGTACAGGAAGGGGCACCGAGAATGTATATAAAGAAACAAAGGTCACCCATTACATCATTCCCGGATGATACAGGCAGAGGTCTCTGAAAAGTTGGGCTATATAGACGATTAGTCGCCCGAGAAGATTTTATAACATTTATTTAAGATAAATAACTGGCTTTGGGCTGGAAGAGGCCAGATGGTCCTCTTGCAGGGTGAGATTAAATTAAAAATGTGTTCCGTGAAGACTTCTGGGACACCAGTATCTTGGCCAAGAAACGGATATAATCACCAGAAAAGACACAGAGATCGAATTCAATCCTAGTAACATTCAAACTAGACTCACTTGGACCGAGAAAAATATGGTGATAGTTTAAGTGATCGATTTAGGTTTCTTGTAAAGATACAATGGCTAGACACTGACAAAAATGATACTAACCCGACAAATATTGTTGTAGAGGTCCTTGCTACCTGCATCATCAGGGTTATGATAGCCATCTTCAAGGGAAATGGAATTAGGCAGTTACAGCGACATTCAGCACAACCTCAACAAATATGACGTATTATTATTACAGGAGACAAGAACAAGGACGCGTTATGAAAAAAAATGGATCGTGCAGACAATGTAGACAAAAGAAGTCGTAGTGCGCTGTCTGCTTCCCATTTACTTGGCAGAAAGGCATGAAACCTCACAAAGAATCTCCAGAAGACAACTTTTGCGTACTGAAAGCAAAACCTGTAAATGACATAATGTATCTATTACTGAAACAGAAATGTCTGTCATTGTGTTACACATCCAAACCAGCCCGAGTTCTCTCACTTTTATTGTGTAGTTATAAAATGGGCTTTCAACGGTTCTGACACTTGAATTTCGTTTCAGACTTTGACAGGATCTTATATTATTAACCTGGTAGCTAATGGTCTATGGATCTGAAATGTCAACAGCTACGTTTTTTTCTTCGTACTGCAAATCAGTTACTCTCTCTGTGCAAGTCACGATATACAACTGTACTCTGCCTTCAGGCACACAGATTCAGGCATTAAACTGAAATTTTCTAACCACATACTCGTCTTTTATTTCCGTTTCTCCCTATCTTCTATACATGTTAAATGATTTCACTTCATTTCAACTGAGCGTTCCTAAAGCGTCTTTCTACAGTTATTAATTATAATTTTTAAGCAGGCAAATTCTCCACTATATGCTTAATTAAATTATGTTGTAACAATATAAAATACTCTCTAACATGACACTAGATTTCCGAAACACACAGTGTAGAAACGACTGTCATTTTTTGTTGGACAGTAACAGCCACAAATGTAAGTACCTTGCCTTACTTTGGAACAAGGTCTTAAGAAGATGGCTGCGTTCTGGGTCGTAGCGTCGCCTAACATAATGTGTTACATCATAAAATCATTATTTTATTATAAAACCCTGTGTATTTGAGGGGAACCTCAACAGGTAGATATAACATTGCATAAACAGTAATCAGTGTTCGAATAGAAAGCCCGTGTATCGTTGGAACTGTCGAAATATATGGCATGTGTAAAAACACAAAAATAGACGCTCGTATGATACCGCAGTTGGACGAATTATAACACGGTGAATTTTTGATACTCGACATACAATGATCAGAAACGCGCAGACGGAAATATTAAGAAGGTTACATCTACGCCCCTGTTACAAGAGTGGCAGTTATAATTAACTTTCGAACCGAAATCGAGTTTGCAAACTAAGCTACGGATTAATTCTGCCCATTAAAAACGATGATCCTTTCAAAACGTTGCAGTACAATGTTATTTGCTGAAAGCGACGAAGAGGTAATAATTTTCATAACCTGTCATTTTCAATGTGGTCGAACTTATAAATATTTATGTAACATGTTCTTCCTTTTTTACTTTCCTGATTAGCGCTTATATTTATGGAGCACCAAACATATTTGATAAAAAAATGTGATGTATCGAAATATAACAGACCCTAATTTTACGACTGTAAGTCCGAGCTATGGAAACTGAGTGTCACGGACGCGCGATGCATCGAATCCGTCAGAGCAAAATACTGAAACCAAATACACGTAGTCGCCTACACATGCCAAATGACCTACCAGAGTTCCAAACACTTAATGCGCCACGCCTCGTTATGGAATCAGCCGACTGCAACGTGTCTCTTCTATAAAAATCCACATAACGCATACACACCCCTGTAAATAGGGCAAGAATTAAATCCATTTGCGGTTTTCACGGCGGTGGGAATAACGAGGTTGTTGTTCTGGGTTTGGCGTCGTAAGTAGATACCAACATTTTGTAAAACATTCTGTCTCCATCTTCAGAGACAAAGATGGAGAGTTCAACCCTAAAGATGGAGACAGTATGTTTTCCAAAATGTTGGTTATCTACTTACGACAACCCACAAGAACAACATCGTTATATCCTAGTGAATCCCATTAGAGACAGGTAACTAACAACAAGAACTACATGTACAGAGTTGAGTTATTTTGTTCACGAATTATTATTTAGTTACGCTGTCAGCAGCTCAAGTTACATGTCATCCATTGATAGGATAAATAACGGAGAATAAATGTAAAATGATATGGGAAGATAATATCGTGACTGTGCTTCATTTACTGTTGTTATTTGCCTCGAGGAACTGAGGAAAACGATGAAAACCATCAATCAGGATAGCCGGTCTCCAGATAGATAGGTACCGGACTGTCCAAATAATCCTCCTCCCTTATGAAACCCGAAAGTTTATCATCGTATTCATAGAAAATCACTGACTATTCAGCCCACATCTTCATAACCCAATTCTCTCAGACTGATTTTTAAAATAATTTCATTCCCATGTAAGTTTAGATCTCCGAAATTACACTCCCTTTGAGGCACAGCAGCAAGGAAGGTCAAATTGATTAAATGACTGATTTATAAAAGACTAAATTCTTACGCTTATTTGGTTTGACAAACGTTCATTATTAGTGTACATACGCCCGAATGAAACTGTATCACTACTATACGTATATTCCAGCGTCTTGTTCTGGACATATCTGCAAGACGGCGCAAGTAATATATTGTGTCACCGCCTCACACACTAAAATAATATAAAATCATTAGGATTCCTGTTGTTAAAGGACTACACATTTGGGTAAAGTTAAACCATTTTTAAGCTCTATGAACATCTGGTCCAGAGAAGATTTTCCTTTGTAGTGTGCATAATGATGGTAAAATCAAAGATTACGACTATGTTATTATTAAAAGGACCATTCTTATACTTCCACATTTTCTTCAATATGCAACAATCCAAATTTAATCTTACTTCATATGTTTTAATGCAGTCATCACTTCTCGCGTGTTTTCAACTCAGTTACACTGAAATCATAAACCTTAGGTTTCTTCACGCATCAAAGGAGAGCAATTATTTCATTTTGTGGCAGTAAAGATGTTTTGTTTTCCTCAGTTACTACGCCTCAGCGTCATTCCCTCCGGGACCACCACGAATTGTACCACCTCCCAAAAGACCACGGCTAATGGTACCACCTGCCAGACCGGTCATCAAAGCTCCCCACTCTAAAAAGGTGCAGCCACCTCTGAACCAGCTGAAGATATACAGTAAGTACCTTCAATTTCTAACGATCAGTAGCAAAGGGAAACTACGAAATTTCGAATCATTCTTGATTAAACGCGTAGCGTAAAATGTATTATGGTGAGACTACATTACCGCATTTCATCGATTTTAAGAAATATTTTTTTTACAATTTAAAATTTCTTAAATCGAGGTGCGTCTTCCATTTTATGACGTTTAAGAACTTATATAACTTTTTTTCCTTAAAACATGGTATTAAATCAAAGATGTGTCTTTCAATCGATGGCAGTAGTAGTGGTGCGTTTATAGGCGCATCGGCTACTCTGGATGTCGTCTTAAAAATCGAGCAAATACAGTATATAGGCTTTGCGTAATTAATATAGACAGGGTTGTCCACCCACCTTGTCAGTCACTTCCGCATAAGCGCATATGCAACTAAAGTGCAGGTTATTTTGCCCGAATTTAACTAAACCTGACACATTTTCGTATATCTCCCTAATATCAAATTTAATGGAAATGCGTTCAGCGTTTCTCGATTTGTTAAACACAAAATTACAGAAATAACAGAGGTGGTGCGCGCATTGTTACAAAATTAGCTGATATTGCACCAAACAATTTTCATGAAAAGCTAAAGAAACAATGAAATAAGGACTTTATTAATTTATTTATAGTTTATTTAACGATTCTAACAACAGCTTAGAATATAGTATCACGTGACAACATGATTAATAGATGTTGCATTGGAAATGATACAGAAGAAACCACGACACAGCTGAATCAATACGGCTCTGGTCCTAGTTGTGAACCCACGACGTTCCGAATACGGAATGATAATCATCTGGCCACGACGGTGGATTAAATGTGTGCGCGCGTTTTTACGGTAATTAATTGAAACTTGACTGCTTTCGATTTAATGGCAACAACGTGCTTTAAGTGCGCGTCCAATACTAAATCTCAAATCGTCGTTCGTTCAGTTCAGACACCCATTAAACCCTTCATAAATGCAAAACATACAAATAATTCAAAATAAGCTAGCAATAGCATTTTACATTCCAGCAGCGCAAATTGGATTAACGTGTTTGTGCTAATTCACACCGGAGGTATTAAAACTTTGTTAAAATACGAGAATACGTATGTGATTGAGAATTTTTTCCGATTCAGAAAACAAAATATTTCCAATATACGAACAATAAACATATCTGATATGTGTATTGATAACTTACCAATTTGCATCTAGCTGTTAGCATATTCATAAATCTTTACAATATATGTGAGTCATCCAATGTACTACAGATATTTTAAATTATAATCAGACAATATTGATTGTTACTAAACAGAACCTACAGAAATGAATTGGCTGCTATGTTGTTGCCAATGTCAACAAGTTAGCTCCATTATGTCCCCGAACCTGGTTTCTGCTTGGTTAAATATTTAGGTATCAAGAAGATGAATGTTTTCTGGGTTACTGCGCAGTGTAGTCGAGTAGAACTTCAACGATGTTTACTGCCTCCATCATCAGGGCGATGAGAATTTATAGGCGCAATAACCCACACGTAAAGTCTCATTTTGGTAATAGGTCATAATCACGTGGTTGTGTGAATAAATGACACAAGAAACAGAAGCCAGGAATAATCTGTACACATGACTCAAGACAGAAACTGCGAAACATTGGTTATTTCTCCAATTAAAACATCAACTGCTAACTGTGAATGCTGTAATCTAGATCCGTTTGAACACCTGAAGGGATAACGTGACGCGTTCTACAGGCAAAAAGAAGAGGATGCTTTTCTCAGGGGTGCCCATATTAAAGTCAGTGCCGTTACTTGGTCCAGCTACCTTAATCAAAGGTGTGCACCATCCACCTAAAGAAATTTGAACGACAATTCGCGAAAGAAATCGCAGTTGAGATGGGGTATCTTTGCTTCTCCTGTCTTGGTTCGTCTGCCTTTCTACTTGAGCTTTTGGTGTCGATGTGCCTTGTGTTACAAACGTTCTGGTTCCAAAGCTGAGCTCGTTACACTGATGAGTCATCGGCGTAATTTTCATCATTCATTATAATTGTTCTTTTTTCATCTTCCACGGATTAGGCATTCAAGCCTATCCCGAATAATTACTACTTTTGAAACATTAATTACGCGTAATTCCACTGAGAAGTCCTTGAAAATCTACCAGCCGTTAAGTTATGAAGCAATTCCCGCTGTTTTTAGAACCCAGCGTTTTACAGTAGCCCGCCACCGGTCTATATCCTCAGCCATATAAACCCAACCCAGCAGTTCTATAACATCCATTTTAATATCATCCTCCAATTTAATCCTAGGCCTTCTAAGTGGTATTATTCCTTCACATATTTCGACAAAAAATTTAGTACTTACTTTTCTGTCCTACGCGTCGTACATTCAGGGCGTCTCTAAAACAGACATACGTTTGTTCAAAGACAAAGCGAATGTGTACATTAATGCATAAACGAAATTACACGTGACACGTAGAAATATGACGCAGGTCGCACGTTCTTGGGCAGAATTATCCTGACCATTGTGTTACGATTGGGTGTGGGAGGTTATGGTCAGTTGGATGCCGCTGAGTCGCATCCGCCATGACTGTAATGGGGAACGACTAAAGGGCATTATAACAGCAATAAAAATGGTCTATAAATCAGCCGTATTGATGCAGCCAGACACAGAAACAAAACACTTAAACTGCCATTGTGGCAGTACCATACCACTGTCAGCAGAAGCATTTGTAAAATATTCAGTCGTTCATGCCTTCACCCTCCCTATATTGGCAGAGGGTTGCAAGTTTTCACCGCTAGGAAGGCCAGCGGTCCATATAAATTGTAGCAGAACGCACGACGTAAAGCAGCTTCAGTAGTGTACAGGTGGCCTGTAGAGTCAGAAACTGCAATATTTCTTCCTATGGCTTTATTTATCGATATACTCCACGAGAAAAATATGTATCCACTCTGCTGACGTGTTGAAATTAAATGCTGTTTCAGTCGGCTGCGGTACTGGAATACCGAATGGAGCTACGTTTTGAACTAGGCGGTTAGATCAGCGGCACAATCATCTCAGCCGATATTGGTGAGGCTGTTATTAATGAGATGTAGCAATCACAATTCTTCATCGTTCCTTTCGGAAGGAAAAAAAGGGCATACGTTATAGCCACGTTCTCTGCTGGTGTGTGTATTTCCACTTTAAAATGCTGACTCAGCTTAAAGGTTCTCATGAAATTCTGTATGAATTTTGTGATATTTAATGCCATACGAATATCGTACTTCATGGCAGATGCTGAAATTTGTGAACTGGGATGACACTAGCGCTACTTATAAAACGTTCTGAAATTATTCATAACAGATCACTTAAAATACGCAATTTTAAGACCGTTCGAAAACTCACTTCACCTTGCATTTTGTTAGCTGTAACTAACGAACCACTGTTTCTAGATACGTGAAATTCAGTTCGGCAATAATTCACAAACAATGTTGGGATAAAATGAGAAAAAGTACAAAAAAACACAGTCAAGAGAGCAGATCTCTCGGAGCGAAAGAAATTGATGGAAATTTCATAAATGCTAGAAACTTGTTGCAAATTCATAGACATTCATTTGTTAACACATGCCTTGAGATTCAGCTATAGTACCTATCTTGGAACTTACGGCATTAATAGAAGCAACAGATCTTCAAGAGAGTGTGGAATTACAGTCTTAATTAACTTAAAGCTATATACAGTGTATAATTTCCTGCTGCTAGGCAACGACGACCACGTGGCGTTCGCTTTATATAGTATCAAAACTGGCAAATGAGCTATAAAATTCAATGTTTGTATAACTGAACGTGTGTAATTTTTTAACTAGTGTTGCGATAGGTTGTTGGCACATTAAGTTGGGCTCTGTAATAAAGAAATTTACCAGTAAGACAGGTTTCCGCGTTACACTGACGTGAACATGGGCTAAATTTAAAACAACTAATAATGTCTCTTAAAATAAATTTGCATCAGAAAGGAATTGTTAGTGCACCTAAATATTTGCATTTCCGTTCTTTATACAGAGTGATTCAAAAAGGACTTTACAACTTTGAAAGTGTATAGAAATTTATTCAGAAGGCTTACAGAATCGGTTGAGGTGTCATTTTGTAGCAAAATAAATCACGTTTTACCTCAAACAGTCATTTTTGTTCGATGTGATTGCCATTGGTGATACTGCAGACATCCCACCTGAAATCAATTTCTTGTCAAACACGATCCAGCATATCAGGTATCACTTCTGCAACTGCGGTGGTGATTCGAGCTTTGAGCTCAGTGAGATTGGCAGGTAAGGGTGGAACATACACACGATCTTTAATGAAACCGCATAAGAAAAAATCGAGAGGTGTCAAATCTGGAGAACGAGGTGGCCATGCTATCGACCCTGTTCGACCAATCCACCGACCTGGGAAACGGTTATTGAGGAAATCCCGGACTTCTGTGAGGTAGTGAGGTGGTGTGCCGTCTTGCTGGAAGTGAATGCGTCCTTTTTGGTCATCTTCGTCTAACTGTGGTATGAGAAAATTTTCGAGCCATTTTCAAATGCACTGCCGCTTGCGCTCGCGGTGACAGAATTTGGTACTACAGCACAACGTGAGTCAAACGTGATTTGGTTTGCTACAAAATGACACCTCAACCGATTCTGTAAGCCTTCTGAATAAATTTCTATACACTTTCAAAGTTGTAAAGTCCTTTTTGAATCACCTGGTATTTCAAGCCATGTTACAGCAATCTTTTATTTACTTAATTAATGGCTGTTCCGTTGGTTATTTAGCGACTCAACATTAGCGCCATGCGTTACACAGGCCAAATAAGTAACTAAGGATTCGGAAGTTGGTGGTCATGTATTTATGAAAGAAATATAGAAATAAAAAGATATGTTTACACATTACAATACTTTGGTGGTCGCTTGTGACTCAGTTGCTTACCGCTGGCAACTGTTCGACGAAGCTATAACCGTGGTCATTTAGAACACCCACACTATATTCGCTAATTCACTAAGTGCCAATGCTGACGTATGTATTGGCTTAGTTTTTTAAAATGTCTTAATTTAATTCACTAAATGTGTATACATTTTTCTAGGACCACCTGTATAACTGCATTCGCGTAGAGATATTAAGTTAAACCAATAAAAACGTAATTCAATTCTAAAGGGTTTTGACGAATGTAGTTTACACTTAAAATTATTCATTGTCAGGACTTTTTCCATCCTCTATTTTTTAAAACCACGACGTTTCGGAGGCTGGTTCTGTCTCCGTCTTCAGGTGACAGAGACTAGCTCTATCTAAGGGACCCAACAGAGTAGGTACCTCTCACCTGAAGACGGAGACAGAACCAGCCTCCGAAACGTCGTGGTTTTAAAGAACAGAGGATGGAAAAAGTCCTGACATTGAATAATTTAAAGTGTAATAAAAACCTGTTAATGTAGCCAGGTTCTTATAAATATCGTTATTATATTTCAGGTAACCCTGACATACTGATATGTGGCAACTGCAGGGAGATGTTCACAGAGCTGCAAGAACTTCTGGACCACAAGAAAACGTACTGCAAACTCCGCTTCACTTGCAAATGTCACACACTTAACGGCATAAACAATAGTAAGTAATATGAGACATTTCATTCCAGTTCTCACAATCTTGTTTTTCATCGTGTTTATTAATGCAAAAATGATTGTCCAGTGAAAATCACGTTCTACAGCCGTTCAAGTACGATCAAGAACAAAACCTAAAACCATTAATCATTTAACATAATTTACTAAATGTAAAGCCCCATAGATGTACCATATTCTATACAAGGGGAGACGTTTTAACTTAAATCTAAATATCTTAGTATAAAAGAAAATAAATTAATAAAATCGAAGACAGTTTTAAAATTTCGTGTGAGAAGTTTATATATTCTAACAAGAAATTTCCCTTACTCTTTGAATAATACATGTTAATTCCTTTTAAATACTGGAATTTTAAAAGTTGCGTATACATTTAATTTTTAAATTCAAGTAAATCCACCTCTTAAGTACAGCATTAGGGCCTCGACATCAAAAAAAATGGCACACCAAAATACTGAAAGCAGCACACACTATTTTTGGAAGGCTGTTATTTTGTTTTCTCAAAGGTAAAAGTAACATCAGAATTTTTAAAATATATCAGTTCCACTGAGTAATGTTGAAAGGAATGGAATAAAAATAAACAGCCTACCAAATCAGCCACTGAAGCGAAATGGCGTTACAACTAAAAATAAACGCACCATTTTAATGTGACCTCATGGACGCATTTTTCTTGTTACTAATTTTTAACAATTATCATTACGTAACAAAAATAAAATCTACTGTGAGAGATGATTCATGAAAAAAACGGAACATCGACATGCGGCCAGTAGCAAGGAATGTGCAGATAAAGCCAGTCGAGGGTCGAAAGCTTTTCAGCTGCAAATCTGCTTTCATCTATCACAAAGCATATTATGTCTCACTCTCGGCACATAATTACCGGACAACTACTTAGAAGCTAAACGTCAATCCTTCATGGGATCTCTCGATTATAGTAGGTCGACAATGGGTCCGTATCTGACTGCATGTGTGCCCATGTTTACATTAATACGGCATTAACATCTATATAGCACAACTGTGGCGTCGTATGTTAGCAGTAAGGTCTGACTGCAATCAAATGACAGTGTACAGGGATGACTTGAGTGTAGCCATAAACTAGAATGTCGACTCTGAAACCAATACCCCGCCAACCTCGCCACAGCCACTGATTATGTTATTGCCAAGTATGGTTTACATCTGTAGCTCATACGCTGCCCGGTACACATAAACCAATTGTCTGGTTCTCATACACGCGTTCCCTACATTGGCATGGAACCTCAAGGCAAATGCAGCCATCCTATTGGTTCACCGTACTCAGTATATCAGTGGCGGTATCGAATGGTTATACTATCCACAAATCTTTATTTTAGATGCATAAGCGCGGCCGCACACCAACTGCGTCAAGACAAGCATCAAGACATGAGACAAAAGACGCAGTCTTGCTTCATTCGTGATTCAGACTCGAGTCCGCACACCGGAGTAGCACGTGTCTGCGTCTTATCACATCTTCTCTAGTTGATGACATGACGTCGTCGAGTGAGGAAGATATTTTAATGTACATGTGGCTTAAATTACGCAAAAGAAGGAAAAGGAAGCGGATTCATGACTTTAATGAGTCGTGTGCTCAACATGGTGCGTACGTTTTAGCGCGCGACTTGTTAAACGATCCGGTGAAATTCCAGTCTTGTTATCGAATGTCTCCAGAATCCTGTTAGGAACTTCTTCGGAGAGTTTCTCAGCCGTCTGCACTATTTTAACATTTATTTGCTTTTCACTCATGTCGATAACGTACACTGGTTTTGTTACTTGAGTACTGATGTCTCAGTCTTGACGCACAGAAAAGAAACATGCCGAGTCTCGCTGCACGTGTCTGCAGCATGAAGCTGACGTCAGCATCATGACTCAGGCCGGTGTGCGGCGGTTTTCATAATCTCATTCGTTTCAACTGTGCTTCTTTCTTTGCGTCATGTCGCAGACATCGTGTCTTGACTGTTACATGTCTTGACGCATGCCGCTGTGCGGCCTACCTAAGTCTTTTACGTCTGCGTCTTCTCTGACGTCTCGAGACAGGGAGCTTTCATCATTCGGAACCACCGTTATTATACCAAGCACAACCGACCAATCGGATGGTGGCATTTACCTACAGGTTCCATATCAATGTAAGGGTTGCTTATGTGCTTCTGGTGGATGTTTGCCTACCCGCATTCCCATTTGTACCATTATTAATATTATTGTTATTTCTAATGTCGAATAAGAAAATAAATGATGGCCTGAATTAGTACTCATCAGTACTAGTTTTTGTTCAATAAGTTAGAACTCAAATGAAAATATTTTTGACTTAAGTGAATTACTAGCGGTGAGAAAAAGGAATATATTTCAAAGATTTGTCCTCGTAAAACTAATATTACATTCTAACACACATCATGATCACATACGTAGTGTCACTGTTTGGTTAACCGGTTTAAAAATGAGATGGACTTGAGCCTTTCTTGCCTTGCAACAAATAATTCTCATGTTTAAATTAAATATTGATATTATTCAACTGTGTAGCCTATAACGCGAGCGTGTGTGTGTCTGTGTGCGTGTTTCCTTTCCCTTGCTAAAGTTTGTGTTTGCTTTTACTTCGCTTTACATTTCAACTATTCTCCGTTCAGCAGTATAGTTAATTTATTCAGTGTTTATGGAAAGGGCTTGATTTCTTGTATTCAAACCTTTCCACAACATCGCTCATAATATTGTACTACAATCTCAGTCGACACACCACGTAACTCTACAATCGATGTAATGTCGTTTATTAGCCTGCATCAAAGAGTGGCAAATTATGACTGCAGGAAGAAGAAAATACCCTTATGAAAGGGTTAAAATCCACACTCGGTAATCGTCTATGCATGTCACAGAGTCCCCAGGAGACGACTCGTCTTCGACGGCAATGCTATTGTGTGTCCTGTGCAAGGACTCGTTCCCGGGCGCTTGGGATCTGATGGTCCACGTGCAGGCAGCTCATATGGTGACCATCTACGAACTAGGGGTTCCAAAGTCAGACAATACAAAGAAAGATGACCAGACCTCAGACCACACGCCTTCAGAAACATCGCCCTGCTCCTGTCCCAAGCATGACGAAGAAGTGGTGAGTTATTCTTACTTCATTACGTAATTCTTGTGTAAACAAGAAGTAGCAGGTAAATTATGTAACTAGGAAACATAATTTAGTACATACAGATCATCTAATATTGTTGAGACAAATGTGTGGGGCTGGGATGGAAGTACTGGACCTTCGAGGTCAACCGAACTACTAGAACGTTAGCCAGACGAACTATTACACCTCGGCCGCAAGTGATCAGCCTGCCAACTCTGCAGACGACCTGCCCTAGAGGAAGAACCTCGTGTAGTCTTTGAATAGAGAATGCATAGTCGAATCGGGGCGTGGCAGTGAACAGAAAAAAAACATCCTCCCTCCACAGAGACGGACAAGACGGCAGTAGGACATCAGTTTACAGGCTAATCGAACCCCTGTCATGGGATAATCATTCTTACTAAAAGTGCTACTTAGAATTATCGATCATTAAATAATACATGTAATAATTAATATCTAACCATTCCTTACTCGTATCGAAATTTACGATTTAGTGGACTACATTCCAAATTTCATAAGTACGGTTGGAATGAGTCAGCCATTATCACAGTATTTTTATATAGTTATTTAAGATATTTGGTTATCATGTCAGTGCACAAATCATGTTGGTCATCTTGGGTTGGAACGCCGTGTGGACTTGTAGGCAGATACCAACGTTTTGTAAAAGAAAATACAGACTGCCTCCATCATCAGCCTATTTGTTGTCTCAATGTTATTTTATATTTAGCAAAATGAAACATAAAATATTAATTTTTAATTAATTACAGTTCACCGGACATCGCATTGCTGTTTCTTATTCAGAAGGGATCGTGTTCAATTTCTAGCCCGAAGAAGACCAGCTATTACTCCGGGCCGTGGTAGTGTCTTAAAATACGCCATATATTTGCAAATAGATTATGTAATTAATTAATTTATAGACTTTAATATTCGGATTCATTAACGTTGCATTATAACTACTCAATACATAGGCCTACACTTGGTTTATCGAACTTATTCGGCAACTTGTAATAGAATCTTTCGCAAAAACTTTCCATGTGATTACATTTCTGAGAAAACTTGCTATAATGCTTCTTGTAAATTTAGCTATGTTTTCAATCTGTTTTAAAACCACTCTAGTTGCAATATAAATATCAGTGTTTAAAAATATTGCTTGATACTTACATTAGTAGGCAGCAAAAGCTTTCCAATTCTGCTTCTTGAAAGCCGTATTTAACTATCACAAACTCATGAGGCACTGACAATAAAGGGATAAGATACACTGCACAGAATGTCACTATAGACACATAAATTTCGTACATTTTCCATTATTAAACACTCTATCTGATATAAAACACATTTAATTAAAAGAACAAACTAAACACGCGACCACGCAACAGAACCATTTTCACCAACACAGGAAATGGCGACAGTCACAGGATTTTATTCTCGCGTTGTATGATGGGTAATATACGAGAAACAGGTAGGAGAGGGGGCAGTGGATTTCTCCTTTATTTGCCATACTAACACAGCGATTCAGCAATTCTTACTGGGAAACGCAGCGGGGAAAGTAAAACACATGACGAAAAATTGACCTTGGGTGGAGCAATATTCCGTCACATGCAGAGCTAGCTGAAGAGACCAATAAACTAACGCACCTGCAATACAGCAGTTAGACTAGATTTATTCCTGCGGTCATGGCTTTGTATTCCGTTTTTAAATAATGTTACGGAATCTTCGTCCCGCTCCGACTAAAAATTTACGGATTTAAGGAACTAGGAATATATCTTATGTACTGTCTACGAGTATTTATCAATCTGTTGATATGTTTCGTCTCTGAAAATACTGAGCAGAAAAAGATGATATGGCGTTATACAGAAAGTTGTGCCACGGTGGTCTAGCGGT